CATGCTAAAGGTATTACCTTTAAATCTTATATTAAACCAAGACCACTATTTTTAGTCTTCTTTGAAAGTGAGTTAAGCTAAAGATGTAAAATTTCCCCTTCTTTTGGTGCATAAGTGCAGTTAAAGTTAGTGTAGAGCAGCTAGTGTAGCTGTCCCTTGGACTGTAAGAGCTTGGTTGCATAGAAATACTGTGATGTGCCTTCTTTAAGTATGTTTTCCTAAGAATCATGGTTATGCCTGTCAGTGCCTCTATCCTCTCTTTCTTTACTCATTCCTTTCTTTTTTTCAATATAAAGACCCTATTCAGCTGTCAGGGTTAATACTTTACGTATCATTAGCTTTGAACTAGGTTGCATATTTCACTGTGGTGCAAATAAAATATGAAACTAAAAATGAAATATTACTAAATGACTCAGTACCAATAATCAAAATCTATACATGTTGCCTGAAAATATAAAAATATTTCCATTCAAAATGAAATGGAAGTCTATAGCTGCAAGATTTTTTGGAAGATCTATGAAATACTTTCTATTATAGTAAAACATATATTCAGGTGTACATATAAATAATAATCTCATATGGATTTCAACTGTTAACCTACTATATAAAAGTTCTATACGGTTGCAATGATAATCTGGTATGATTAATTCTTTACACGATTTCATGTAAAATAATTGCTCACACAACTTTTTTTATTTTTATTTCTTAGTGTTTTTTATTACCTCATTAAAGCTCATGGCTTAGATCCACCTTTTTGGTAAGGTACTTTCCATTGCTTTCTAAAATTAACTTTCTCAACTAACAGTACTGTTTCTTTTCTGCTTCTTACTGTTAATAACCTAATAAAGCTTAATAAGGAGGACAACAGCCAGAAGGAACTATTCCTGTCAGTCAGTGTAGAAATAGTACACTTCATGAGTAGAACTAAGGAGTAATAACCGCTAAATCTCAGAACAAGAAAATATTTACTTCATGTCTATGGTATGTATTGGAAAGGGTTACTTCCCTTATGGGGAAATCACTCTTACGGGAATTTTTAATAAAAAATTAATTAACTTCAGTCCTGAGGATGTGGCCATTAAACTGAACAAGTCAATTCCAAAATTGCAGGTTCTCTTCCCTAACGTGTAAACATGAGTAGGAACGGGCTAGTAAGTCTAAGTTGTTCCCTAATTGAATTCAACTGTAAAAATCTTCCTGATTTCAACAAAACTGGATTTACATCATTTGAAAGACTTGTCTCATGCCAGGATCTTTACTTGGGTCCTCTACGTCTGGAAAACTTTACCATATGTCACAGAACTAATGGTATTAATACGGCAGGAGAAGGAGGATACTCATGAGGGGCTGAAATTACCTGCAGGAAAGTGTATAGCTGTTCAAGGTGGTAGGTCAAGGTGTTGCTCTCTTACAGAACGTAATAGAGCATAATGAGAAAAATAGCTTTGAATTGTCCATAATAACAGAAGACAGCACAGAATTTTAGTCCAGTAGTGTGTAACTGTATGCTCCTAGTAAAAGGCCTTCTGCCTCTTTAACTGTGTGTGCATAGCTGCTTCCTGTTTCTTAAAAGTTAGGTAAGTAATTAGGTGAGGATTCTATGATACCTTCAATGTTCCAATGTTTATACCTACAAATCATTAAAATTAGGTTTGTTGTGACTGGGCAAAAAGGTAAGAAGTGATTTTATCTCTGTATAGTGGTATCTGCCAACATGTCTGGGAAAGACTCAGTCTTTGCCTGTACAAGAATGCTAAGTTGATTTACTATGGAACATTTTTAAAGTAATACAGCTCCTTTGTAGATATTCTTATTTCGCAGTAGTTTCTACATAGTTCAGTTTAAACAGTTTTGCAATCAGATTCTTAACTAAGAAAGTGTATGGTGATCTGTTCAGAGGATCTCCTCAAGCGGACAGACATTTCTTTCTAGTATTTATTGTTAGTTTTTTGTCTTAAGAGAGCCTTCAAGACAAAGTTGAAAAACACCTCAGCAAGGAAAGTAGGACATAAGCTGCTGAAAATATAGATTGAGAAGGTACACATAGATGTTTTATTTTTTTTTAATACTGTAATTTAATTAGTACACATGACATTTTTCAATATACGTACTGTGCTGGGAGGTTGGTTCTGTATATCTTCTATTAATTATGAAACTGGAAAGTTCACTTTAGTTTTGGTTAGAATGTATACAAAAACTTGGACTGTAACTGCCAAGAAGGATTGAATGTTCGTGCCTGATCTGGCTCTTCCAAGCCACAATTCTGAGTTAAATGCTCTCGTATCTTTGAGTCAACACCTAATATTTTTTTTCCTTGCTGTGTCTCCCTCTAAACATGAGTTATTTTGGACAAGAATATTGGATTAGGAACAGTGTTTTCTTTTCAGTCAAAATGACTGCTTTGTATATTAAATGTCATCAAAACAATAATTTAAAAAATAATTAAATTAATTAAACCCCAAAGAAACAAAGTTTATGATGAAATACAATTTCCTGTTACTTTTAAATAAAAAGTGTTAGAATAGAATGACTTGTAAACAGCTCATGAAACCACAAATGTCTAGTAGAGCATTTTCTCATAGAAAGCTTTGTTTACACAGAGATCTTCCATTAAATGTTTTTATATGACACTTGAAGTTAAAACCAATTATTTCTTATGTTATGTGTTCTTTAGTTACTGAAGTAGAATTGGCTTGAAGGAAATTATTAAAGTAGTGGGCATTTAAAACATCATTCAATCTGTGGGTGGTTTATTTGCTATGTTGTATATGTTCTCTGAACACAAATTTGCAAAAATAATTTGATGTTTAAGCAAGGCAGAAGGTATTTGTAGCAAACACTATTTCAATAATTTTTAAATTTTGCTAGTTTTTAAGCTTCCCATATTATTTTTTTGCTAGTTTGACTGTGATTTCAATACATTTAATGAGCTCTAGGAAGGTTAAAACAAAAACTAAACAAACAAGGAAAGAAGATAAACCTGAACTTGTCTTATCAATAGTATGTACACTAAGAGTAACAGTTTCAGGGATTTTTATTACCAAGCCATTTAAAACAATGTAAGACTTTTTTTTAATTTTATTTGAGAAAACTTTGCTAGAATAAAATTAAGTGGTTTATTATTTAATCTGTTATTTAAAGTATAGAAAAAAAAATTTAATACAAAGCTCTGTGAGCCACTTCCCTTGAAAGACAACAGCTCCCAATGAAATCCTGCACCACAGACATTTCCATGTGCAAGACCAAACTGGACTCTTCTGAATGGTGGTTTTCTTTCAGTTCAGAGTTAAACAGGTACTGGCTGCTGAGGGTCTTTTTCTTCCCCAGAAGCAGGATGTGATCAATGACTTTTTAACTCACTAAGAAGAGGGAATTGGAATGCAGCTGGCCATGAGACATCACTCCCGAGCTCTTGCTCTGCACTTACTATCTTGCCTTTGCAGGTTTCTGAACCAAGCTGCAGGAACTCAGTGGCAAAGTCTATATGAGGCACAGGCTCCCACTGAGTTCCTACAAACAAAGCAGAATGTCTCCTGAATGTGTTGATGTTTTCTGCTTATTATAAAAAGAGAAGAATTATATATTTTACTGTAGGAGGCTTTGACAAGGGCCAAACTGGACAAGTGTTCCTGGAATTGTCTACCATTACCAAAAAGCAATGGTAATTTAGATATCAGTTTTCATAGGAATTGATTTGTTTTGGGAAAATAATTTTTGTACTAGCACTGTATACATATCAGACTTGGCTGACCAGTAATGTCATGACAAAATATACTATCCTTCCGACAAATGACTCTAGCATTGATTCAGTCGTGGATTAATATGCAGATTGATTAATTTTTAAATTAGTGGTCAATATCGAAAGAAGGTATTCTCTTTACTTTGCTGAAAAACACTGACAATCTGAAAGCAATACATCATAATTGGGCTTCTCAACAACTGCCATCTGAAGCTTTGTGATACAACAGGGTCAATTTTGTCATATTTTCATTCATGTTACTGTGGTGAGGAACAAAATGACTTCTTCCCTGTATGTATTATACCTTAAAGTCCATACCAGAGCTCTTCCAGTCATCTCCTACTATGCAAAAGGGAGTCTTCTAACAATTAATCTATAAGCTACTTTGTCCTTCCCCTTGGCTTCTTTTTGCTTCTGGACAGAAGAAGCAATGTGGGTATGGAATTGGTAGTCGAGACCTAAGGAAATGGGTAGGATCCAAAAACTGGATAACTGCAGAAATCCTTGGTCTGTGAGGCAAGAAAGACCAGTTTCAACCTCAGGCTTAGAAGTTCAGCAGATCTTCTGGACTTAGGGGAGGAAGAGGTATTGCTTAGCCATACCTGCTCTGTGAAGAAATTGAAGACTTCAGTACCAAGGCATATTTGAAAAGCAGCAAATCAACCTGATTTTTGTAGAGCACACTATTTCTAAATATCTGAAATCAAAGACAATACTTGCATATAGATGCCATTACACTGGAGAAATAAAAAAAAAAAATTTGCCTGGTACTTTTCAGTCATCCTCAGTAGCTTATTATGTTAATGTAGGCTAAATAACTGTTATAACAATGCAGTCTTATACAAAAAACCATTATCTTCCCATGTTCTGTTGACTGAAAGTAGATACACAGCTGTTAAATATTCTTTATACATGACTGAAAAGTGGTGAAGAAACCAAACATAACTTCTGAATGCAAAGTTTCTCCTTTGAGAATTTAGAGCAGATGTGCTCCGTAAAATAAGCCCTGGTACTTTTATTAAGGCCATGAAGTGGGGTTGTAAAAAGGTGCTGAGGCAGCTTCATGGGTTGTGGTTCATTAACTCTAATTGTCAAGTCTGGATTCCATCTGATGGATGATCAGGTCCTTCCTTTCTCACATCCATTTTCTCACTGTCTTCAGGTGACCAGCTTCCAGAGCTGCCTCTTTCAGAAGTGTTTCCAACAGTGGACCTGGGTAGTATTCTAAACCACTTCAGTCATACTTGAACATTTCTTTTTCTTCTTGGATTTGCTCCTTTTCTTGTATCCTTCCTGTGCATAGTTTTCCTCTGGAGAGAATAAAGCTATCATTAATGAAAACATTTTAGATTTTGGAGAGATTATGTTACATAAAAGTTTTCCTAATTGAGAAGACTTATTTTTGAAAGTAATAACATTTTTACATAAATTAAAAATAGAAAATGCAAAAGGCGTATCAGCACCAAGTGCCTTCTGATTTCAGGCTTGATATAAGGGAGTGAAGAAGCAATGTTTTACATACCGCCCACGTAAGACAACCATATTATTTACAGTGTGTGGCCATCTGTGTGTTTCCCAAGTTCTTGTTTTTTTATTAGAATTAACTGTGAACCAAAACCAGAATATTAACTCTACAGGCAGTGGAAAAGATATGGAATAGGTAAAGAATGTTCCTCCCTCTATTTCAAGCTGCTTGTGACTGAAAGTTGTGTCAGGATTGTTTGGAAGAAGAAGGAAATTTAAATAATTGAATTAATGGAAATAATTAAAGTAATTAATGTTTTCAGACCAATGTCAAATAGCATTTCTCTTTTTAGCAGTGAATACATTTCATATGTGCATAGAACTACCTGTTTTCCCCACTAAAAATAGTCAAAAAAATTTCAAAGCTTGGAATTTTTTTAGCAAGTCTAATTCCAAAGCATAACTAAAACCTCACGTCATGGTAGCAGAAGGAATAATCTTTCATTACCATGAGAGATTACAATTTGGTTGGTTTTCAGTGTGGTTTAAGTACTGCTCTATAAAATAAGTAAAAAAAAAAATAACATTTTTTCAAATATTTATTTGATTGGTAGTAGGGAATTTTTTGAAACCGAGAAAAGATCTGTAAATCTGAACACATTTTCTGAGTTTATAAAATCAAAGTCTAACATTCCATAAGTTTGTATTCAAACCATCTTTAGTTTTATATCCCTGATATACTGTGCCAAAATAAAAAATCAATAAACTCTAAGCATGTGAAACAGTTGCAACAGTTCACAAGTAACTGGTTTTAATTTTATTCAGTTGTAGACCCTAAAGCTTTGAAAAAAATTCTCATAAATCCATTTTGCCATTAAGTGCACACAGATAACTTTCTAGAACTTGCCAGCACTAAATATCTGTAAGTGTATTTATGTTTTCAATTTTTTTCCAAGTATATTCAAATTTTGTTAATGAGTTTTTTCCTTCAGAATGCCACCATCAGGGGGTATGCATATCAGAATTGTCTGATAGTGATTTCTGAAAATCTTGTTAGCATTTCTGTTTCTTTGAAAGTATTTCAAGTATTGTAAAATAGGAAGAAATATCACAAATAAACTGAGTATCCTACTTCCCACTTTTGTTAACTTGTTAAAAAGTTCACTTTACTTATTGACAAATGCACTTCTATATAGCTATTTATATAATCTGTGACTGTTAGCAGAGTGTTATTCTATTTGTTTGAGTTTATTATATGAGCAGCGTTTTAATACTTTTAGTTATAAACCTAGAAAAATAAAATATGCATAACAAAATCAAACCAGAGTATCTTACCCCTGTTTCAATGTGCCTTGTTACTTTTATTAAAAGAGTCTTCCTATTTTCTAAAAAAAGCTTGGTGCCACTCTATAGTATAAATTTACTAATTTATTCTGAGCTCTCTCTATTTTTTTTTTTTTTGCAGCCTCCACTTTTTTATTATTTATTCTAGGTTGGGATCAAACTGATCCTGGTTTAGCCATGGTATGGTAAGTTCATTAATCTTTAAGTCTGCAGTTTTCTCTATAATGTCCATGTGCCTGAGAGCATTAATTAGACATGAGAACTGGTGGATTATTAAACAGCATCTCTGCTCTTTTATATCTCTGGTCTCACCCTACTTTTGTATTTTTATTGCCTGAAAATTGACTTTTCCCCTGCATTTTATCTATAGATAAGACTGGCTTTATTTTCATATATCTTAACTTTGGCATGTTGTGGGCCTTTCTAATTTTCTTTAATAACAGAAGGAAGTGAGAGGAGCTTAAATGTATGTATAAACAATTTTTATGCAAAACTCTCACTTCTTCAATCTCTAGTGTTAACTTACTTCTTTGGTTTCTACTTTTCCTTTGGGAAGCTCTACTACTTTCCTTCATTTTACAGTTTCATATGCATCCCAGTCCATCTTTTCAGATGTTTGACCTGTATTAGCTGTATAAAATAGAATATAGTTTCTACTTTGATAGCATTCAAATCCTGAAATTCATCATTAGGAAGTTACTCCATTTCCAGCTCTTTTCTTTTGGACCACCACTAGTGGTTTTAAAATTGCAGTCTTTGCATAAGTTTAACATACTTTGATATTTGATCTATACAATCTGCCATCAAAGAAAATGAGGCCAACATATATTTGACCTATTGCATAAATTTACAGCTAGGAAAAATATTGTATTCCCTCAGAAGACTGGTGATGCCTTTAGATGTTGTGAAGTCTAGCTTGATTTTCTTTCTTTTCTTTTTATGTTATTCCCTCATCTCCTTCTACTGCTTTGTACTTTCTCCATAACTGACTGGTCCTAAAGTCCTTACGTGTCTGTGTTCTTACCTTTAAAATATGCACTTCTGGTTTTGCATCCTTCAAAAGTGCTGTTATCCAATAATTAAAATATTTGTCTAACTTGTTCTTTAATTATCCTGTCCTGTATTTGAACTGTTACTAGACTGATGTCTCTGCTCTCTCCCTGATAACATAGCATTGTTCTCTCTCATTTGTCTCATTTATGCTAAGGCCTGTATCAAACACGGCTGATTTATGTTAGCATAACAAGTTCCAGATGAGCCATCCTACCTGTTCATATGGGTGTTCTTAACTTGTCCCACATGCAAGGAAAGTGCTGCTACTTTGCATCACAGTGAAAGAAGTTTTCAAGCCCCCTGTGTTTAAGATACATGAGTGTAAGTTCACACATAGCAGGAAGAGGAATGTAGACTGATTCTAGAGGGAGCAGGTAACAGAGAGTTATAGAAATGTAGAATGGAAGAGGGTGCTTACCTAATTCTAATTTCTAATGCCTTTGTAATTAATTACCTCACAGTATTTCAATTTTTTATAGATATTTTTGATATGAAGAGATTACTGAAAAACATGTATGTTTTTGCCTTAACTTTGCCCAATTTTGCCTTTCTACTTTTAATTCTGCCTCACTCAGGGCTAGTATTTTCTCTTTCTCCTGCCCCTCCTAACACATTAGATTATCTTATACTGAAATTACAATAACAATCTCTTAATATTGTTGAGTCTGGGGTTTTTTTAGAACTCTGTTATCTTCCCTCAGGTTGAAAAGTGTTTTTGAGAAGGTTTCTGGAAGTCAGGAGCATCCTTTGTTTTGGAACAGGCAGTAAAGACATCTTCAGTTTAGAAGTTAATAGACTGTATTTTAGTGAAAGTTGCATGTAATTTAATCATAATGAGGACATATATGGATTTATTGACATTTTAAAATGTGTTTTTAAAATTTTTCTGCTTAACCTTAGGTATCATTCTTATTTAGTAGTGAAATTATCTAGAGAAAGGGTGATTTTATTTTTAGTCAATGCACCAAAAACTTACCTTTGTTATAAACCAGAGGACAGATTTATGGCATTTTCACAGAAATCTACCCCCACCCTTTCTTCCCACTCTGTTATCCGAAAACCAGTATATATATCTGGAATTTAAGGCTATGTAGTGAAGAATAGAGGGAACTAAAGAAAAAAGGTAAATTTGAAATATGTTTCCAAGAGTTCAGCCAGGTCATGCAAAAGCCCATCTAAGGTCACTTGTTTATGTTTCTGCATTTGCCTCTCTACTTCACAGGTGCAGTTCAGCACTGGCCTGATGGGAGTTGCCTGCAGTCTGTGAAGACAGAGGTAGAATGAGAGCTCAGGGGAACAGAAAGGAGCATGAGAGCCAAGCAGAAGCATGAACTAATTTCAAATATCACTCACATTCCAAGTGTTTCTAGGAAGAAAATGAATCTGAGTGCATGCTCATACGTGTAGCTTTGCCATATCTTTAGCATTTTCTAGGGCACAAAGCCAGGAAAGATCCCTGAGATTGGTAAGCCCTTTTCTTTCTATATTCTTTTAGATATGAATTATCCCATAGGTAGAAAACTGGGAAGCCTCCACCCTACTCGTAAAACATAGTCCTCAAAAAGTCTTTTCTAGGCACCACTCACAGAGATGGGATGCGAGAGTGTCATATTACTAAGGGGGAAAACAGAATTAGTAGACAGAGAACAGGAGCTGGTGGAATAATCTTATTTAATGCCTTCTTCCAACTCAAACTGTTATTTTTTTTACTCTGGGAAGGACTCCTTAACCTTGCTGGCACTTACTCTGATATATATATATCTCAGCAACATTTACCTCACAGGGAGAGGAAAATGGTTGTACACTTCTGAGTTTAGTAAAAAAGTCATCCAATCCATGAGTGTTACCCCACAATTCAAAAGCAATCTTATGACAGCAGTAAGGACTTAAAATAATATATGCTAATTCCTTAGGGATTCCTGGGAAAGTCTTAATGTTCACTCTAACTCCCACATCATCAGTTTGAAAACATAGGGTTGTTTTTTTTCTTTCTTTTTTATCCTCCCCTCTAGAGCTTTTTAAAGGTAAATTATTTTCCCTGAGTTTTGCCACAAAAAGGAGTTATTAAACTTTAAAACCTATTTGCTGGGAGGACAGGGAGTGACTGAAAAGCACCCTGGTAATGTTTCTGTGTGTGGGAAGACTTGCTGTAGGCCTATTAGTTTTCTCCAGAAATTTTCTCAAAAAAAAGAAAAAGCAAGACAAGAAAACTATCTTGCTCCTAATGACCCAGACCCCTAAAATTTTGTCTTTGATGTTGATGCAACTGTCTTGGAAAACCTCTGTTTCATTCTGATCAGCACCTGGCATTGCATGGTCTGCTCATTGTGCCATTTTTGAGTTGAAATCATGGATTCAATCTGCACTTGAGGAAGCAGCAACAAACGATGCTTCCGAATGAAAGCAACTCCTTGGTGTTTACAATGAGTGAATGGGAGGCAGGGAAGAA